CCCAGATGTCATTTTATTCATGGTTAAAGGAGGGGATTGGGTGGGGTAAGAGGGGAAATGAAAGCATTTGCATGATAATAAACCTGAAACTTAATAATCACGCTTTTACAAAACGTGTATATGGTCCTTTCTTGAGGCAGATTTTCCAGAATTGGATGACCTTCTCCAAGGGGATAAGGATATTTTTCTCTGCCAGATCTTAAGCTAGGGCATTGAAATTATTTCTATACACATACACAAAGAGGAGGGAGCTGAGGTGCAAATATTTAGTCACCCAAAGAGAGGAGAAAAGATACCACAGTGGCATTAATTATCTAGATAGTATTTGAAGCCAAAAGAAGATTTGGAAAGAATATTTTTTACTGTTAAAATTCTCCACCCCAATTTGTTATGCATTGACATAGCTAAAGAATCATTGGCCTATTTTAACCTTTGGACATTTCTATTTTACTTTTATAAGTTGGGAGAGAGAAAGGAAAAGATTATTCACAAGGACAATGGGGGAAGAGACTATGGAAGGAAGACAAAATAGAGAGGGGAAAAGGCTATTTCACTTCTCTGTAGTTACTTGGACTTTCAAACCATAGGTTAGGTCTTAAGAAATAGGAGTCTGTTTCATATACAAGCCAGGTCAGGTGGGGCCTGGGTGGTATGGTTTTCAGAAGCCAAGAAGATTTCAGTATTCTGCCATTATATGAAATACCTCACATTGGCTAGGTTAGGCCAGACCGCTGTAGCAAACAATCCACATTTCAGTGGCCTCGCATACACAAAAACGTGTGATCTCTCCCTTGTATTGCAGTTTGATGCAGGTTATGGTGGTCAGCGGGGTGCGGGGGGTGGTGATGGAGGGCCTACTCTACAGCAGCATTCAGGAACCTAGTGCAATGTGATGTAAACGAAGACCATAACACTCTCTCATCTATCAAACTGGCAAAATGTGACTTTTTACCAAAAAAAATCTGCATATGAATTGTGTGATTCAGATAGATTTTAGAAATTATAAAATGGCTGGTTGGTGTTCTGCACCCCTGGAACATACAGAGATGGCCCTTGTAAGCAAAGCCAGGGGTCAAAGCCCCAAAGGAAGTGGCCACCTCCCTACAAGGGCAGCTATTGGCCACAAGGAATAGGTTGTGCCAAAATACGCTCTTCCGGCCATCAGAACCCTCCCTGCAAGAATGAATCCCCAAAATCAGCACATTTTGGATCCTGGGCAGGAAACAGCCATACTCATACCTTACGGCTCCAGCTCTCTTGCGGTCACATGTTTCATACTTAGCAGCCCAATCAGAGCACCAGTTTTGGAAGACAGGTAACTCGTTCCCCATCAGGGGTGGATGGGTGGGAGGGTGTGTGGGAACTGAGGTGAGGCCTAGCCACAAGCCTGTCAGATTCATCAGAATCATCCCTCCTGCCCTGGACGGGTGAGTGCTAAACAAGGAGGCCACCACAGACGAGAAGGTCGTTTCAGGGACATCTGGTGCAAGACCAATTAGACCAGGGTCCCACTAGCCTCTGGAATAGGAAGTGTCTCAGTTACACAGGCCTGGGAACAGGGGAGGCAGAACACAGTTCATCATTTAAATTTCCATATTTGTAGGAAAAAGACCTGAAGAGACATCCAGGGAAATACAGCAATTGCCAAGAGAGATGGGCACTTTCTAGAATTTTTTTACACTTCTTAGCAATGCCTTCACTGGCCCTGGTTGAGCAGCACCTTCATGCTAACTCAGTGGACATTGTCCTTCTTAGGGTGACACCTCATCCCGGTTTGCTCATTTGCCAATTTTAAGACCAAAGGAAAGCCCTCTTTCTCAAACCAGCGTGGTGGTTGGTCCCTCTAGTCCTTCCACACAGTTTTGTTGAAAGCATCAACTGGGAGCTATTTTACCCAAAATGACAGGGGATGTGGGCTGACCTGCTGACATTCTCACCTAGAAGAATCTAGAAGAGGGCGAGTTAGGGCCACGGTCTGTGACCCTGGCACAGAGCAGCATTACTTATCCCTCCCAGGAAGACAGGAGACAGAATTTGTAACTTCGGCCTCTAGTCACAGACTTGGGAGGGAGCTTGGAAATTATCTAGGGCAAATGTCCAGATGGAAACTAAGGAAACCAAGATGCAGGAACTTTGAGAAACTTGCTTAAGGCTGCACAGCAGGACTGTCCAGGGGAAAGCTTCTTTTCCAACCAGGTGCTCTTTCCACCTCACCATGCAGCTCTGTCCCTAGGACACCCAAACAACTGAATTAATGGGCCCCAAGAGATGAACCTGGACATCCCTCCTGAATCTGACAAAAAATGCTCCCAGTAGTCACCCTCAGTGGCGAAGGAGCGGAGGGTGGTGGCAGCCTGCCTCTGGGGAAGTGCAGCAGGGTGGCTAAGAGGCCACGCCCTATCACCAAGAGCCCCCACGCCCTTCTGGGGCTCCACACCAACCTCCAGCCTCTCCAGACTCGAGTCAGAGTCCCAAGTCATCCTGCATTCCCCTCCCTTCCCTCCTCCTCAGGGTACACAGGGCTGTCAAAGAAGGCGAAAGCCAGGGAAGTGGTGGGCATGGGGTGCAACAAGTCAGAGCCACCACCGCAGCCTCCCCGAGAATCTCTTTAAGTTCACTGACAACTTTTGAAAAGCTGAATGAATACCCGGCCCAAGTTGATTCCACAGAAACATCATTCCTGTTTTCGAAAACCAAGCCAGCAGCCAAGCAAACTACTTCTTCAACCAATGAAGCACCTTCTTACAGACATCTTATTTTTAAAGGGAATGAGAAAGGTTTTGATCACACACAGAAAGGAGCCTGTGCAGCTGGTAACATATGCCCCTTGGGAATACAGGGCTTTTAAAATCATTACTCTTATGGTTTCTCCCACTACTATCTCAAATTTATTAAGCCTCATCTGTGTAGATGTACCTGTAGAAAGGTAATTCCAGTTGCTTATCGTTTTAGGAAGCATGTGGAAATCGCCATCAAAGAGTAATTATTTTATATGTGCACCCCCCCAACTCTTTCTGGACTTAAAGACAGTTACTATTAACGCAGTGCAGATTACTTTCACCCTCTCCAACATTTGGGGGATTAAAAGCTCATTTCAGGTAGATACACTTGAACCCAAAAGGCCACAACATTGCCAAGTTAAACCAACTATTTTGGTTTCCCTTTGCACCTCACAACCCAGACAACACCCTGCTCTGCTCACCCCTCTGTTCTCTGTCCCTGCAAATTTCTGTGCTCTGAGACCCAGCTTAAGATCCTCCCAAGACATCTCACCAAGCCTCTCCAACCCACATTACTCTCCCTTCTCTGAATTCATGTCAATCTTAAAGCAGCACTTAACTACAACACACGTATATGGTGTTTTGTTTCCTGATCATTAGATTTGTCTCCCTTGGGGTATATGCCCATGAAGGCAACATGTTTGATAGGAAATGCTCAGTTAATGCTTGCTGAATGAATGAATGAGTGAATAACAGCATGGACTGGGGAGTCAGAAAGATCTGGCTTTACCTCTTTCTAGCTAGGTGACTTTTATCAAGTTGCTTAACTAGTTTAAACCTCAATTTCTTTATCTAGAAAATGGCAATAATACTCTGTAGCCCAGAGATGTAAATGAACTACAGAAAACAGGTGCTCAAGGACAGAGCATTCCCTTTACCTTCACCCAGGTGCCCCACGAGTCAGTGTTCATTTACTGTCTAAGGCAGGGTATATGTATTCCTCAGTCTTTTTTAAACAGCATTCATGCTGGGCCATGTCTACTATGTTTTGATTAGGACAAAGTTTGGCCTATTGATCACAAAAAGTTTCCAGAAACCAAGACCAAATCCTGTAGCCAAAAGGCACATGTGTAGATGTGTGTTAATGTGACTTCTTATCTGAGAAGGACAACTCCCCAAACTTGCTACAATTCAGAAAATATTTGAGTCACCTGCTGCAAATCTAATATTGTTTGCTGTGTTTCCCTCAAAACGCCTCCTACTGTGTCTCACACACAGTAGGACAGAGTGGGTAAACCATTAGTGTTTATAAACTAAACTACAGCCATGATTCAAAAGTGCTGGGAATTCAAGTATGTAGTTGGGGTGGGAGGGGAATGTTTTCAAAAGCCGTTTAATTCTTTGTGTGCTCAACTATATTTCAACAAAACAGAAAGCCAAAAAAATCACCCAAAGCTGCAGCCAAAACAGCCCCAGGCCAAGAGTTGTTGAATGGTGTTCTTTAAACCGTGCCTCATAAATACTCCTAGTCTAGTGACCCTGTGCCCCCTTACAGCCTCTGAACTGGTCTACTAACCCCAATACATGTTAAATTTATGATTTCTAAACAAGATAAAAGACCTGATTGGATTTATTTCCTATAAAAGAAAAAAAGCATGAAAGAAAGCATTCCATTCCTGACCAAGCTGAGACCCTGAGCTGGTTTGTCTGCTACTAGCACCTACTTGCCCATCACTCAGTCTAAACCTCCTTCTGTAGCTTCTCTGGTGTTTTTCAGAGATGACTTCCCTCCCTGACTGGCCTGAGCCTACTCCTCTCACCACGGATTGCTTACAGTGGTGGCTCCTCAGTGAGTCAATGACTCCTCCTACACCTTTGCCTGGTGACTTCCTACCTGGTCACCACTCAGCATCTTCCTCCCAGGTTTCCCTCCCAGGTTCTCCCCTCCTGGGAGCATCACGTAGAAGCTTAGAATGAGAAGTGACCTTGGAATCTACTCGTTTTCCAGATGAGAAAACTAAGGCCAGTGCAGAAAATAAACTGAGAGAGCAGGAACTGGAACCCAAGTGTCTTGGTTTTGAATGCAGTGTCAGGCCACCAGGCCCATGGCCTACAGATGTCCTCGGTGCCCCTCCCCCAGCACACAGTCCAGGATCCCGTGTGTCGTGCAGGGACTTTGCCTTCAGTGCCTCAGCTGGGCCTCCAAGGTGCCTGCCCAGGGAGGCTCCCTGGGGTTGCCACCCTCCCTCCCAACATCCTAGGACGTTAGTCTTGTCTTACCTGGCTTCTCTGCATCTTGTCTTCTCAAGGTCAGACTCCTTGCTTCTGGAATAGTTAAAGTGAGATGCACAAAATCTGACAAACTAATCCATCTGAGGAAGGGAAACTAACAACTCCTCCCAGATAATTTGAAAATATTAAAACAAGGGCTTTCTAAAGGAAACAGCTTTGCTATTCAGACCGGAACAGTAACTTTTAAAGAAAGCATTTGAACTTGAGGGTAAAATGGTGAGCTACCCTCTTAAGGGTAAGGTGTAAGAGTTGGCCAGGCTCAGAAGTGGCCCAGAGGATGCAGATTGCACAGAGATTCACCTGATTTCATGGACTGAATGGAATTACTGAGAATCACACATCAACATCATGAACCCACACACTCCTCCCTTCCCTTCCAGGAAGGGGTCTGTCCCTATTCCCGTCACCTACCTCACCATGGCAGGGTTAGGACCAGCTCCAGTGTGAGCATATCAGCACCTTCAAAAGCACCCCTGCTCCCACAATTACCCACTATATCCAACACCTTCTCACCTAGCGCCCAGCATAAATCTAAACCCAGAAGTGGGCATGAAAGGACTAGTTTAAAAACCCCAAGTAAAGTCTGCTGGATAGGTCTCATCCCTGCCTATTCTCTTAACTAGCTCTACAGCCCTCAAAAAACACTGGATTGCTCTGTGCCTCAGTTTACTCACTGGAGAAATGAAGCTGATGGCAATACCTGAGTAGTGTGGGGACAAGATAAGAGAATACTTTGGCAAAGTTTGCCCTGGCTGGTGTGGCTCAGTTGGTTGGAATGTTGTCTCATAATGGAAAGGTAGCCAGTTTGATTCCCAATTAGGACTCACACCTAGGTTTTGGATTTGATCCCCAGTCCAGGCACATAAGGGAGGCAACAAATCAATGCTTCTCTCTCACATCTATGTTTCTCTCTCTCCCTTCCTCCCTCTCTAAAAGTAATAAAAGCATGTCCTTGGGTACGGAATAAAAAAAACCTTCAACAAAGCTTAAAATATTTTAAAGGTATGATTATATCATTAGCAATAATATAATCACTTCCTTTTCCTCTTTGTAGGCATATACTCACAAGACTTCTTTGGAATCCTTTCAGGGAACTCCCAGATATACCAGATAGCTTGTATGAGTTAGTCTCGCCTCCTGCTTAAATTCCTTTGCAGTTAAACTCAGCCTGTACCAACTGACTTTATAAAAAATAAAATAAAAATTGTTGTTTTTTTTTTGACCAGGACTGAGGCTCAGAAAACAAAACCATTTGGAAAAAAAAAAAAATCCAATCATCTGCTTCCATCGCCACCAAATACATGCTGCGTGTTCCCTGAGAGCAAGCCACAGGGTTGGAGGCTTGGGGTCCTTTGCCCTGCCTGCTTTCAGAATGTAACTTCGAGTCTCTCAAGTCCCTTTGCTTTTGAAGCCAATTCTTGACTTTCAAGTTCAGAAAGCCCAATAGCGACTACACGAAACTCTCTCCCGCACTGTCTTAGCTCACTGTTCACATCTTGCATTCCAGTGTCTTCCTGCCTACAGACTTGAACCTTCAAGGTTTGACAGGCAGGGAGTTTTGCAGGGATAGGCTGTGATTATATCATCTTGTCGCTTCAGGGTGAAAAAAAGTGGGGGAGGGAATTCTAAACAAACAGAGAATGACCACACAAATTAACAAGCCAGGTGCGATTTAGAATCTGTCTTCCCTGATCCACCCAAGTACATGTTTGAAAACCAGATCTTCCACTTTTCCTAACCGGCAGATGGACAACATGAAACTTTTAGAATGATAAAAGTCGATTTCACAAACTAACAGTAAAGAGCTCAGCCCCCGGCAAGAAACATTTTCCCTGCCTTAGGAATGCCCCCATAATTTGAAAGGGCCCCATTTCTTGCACTTCCTAAGTGCTCAGAAATTATTCAAAAGTCAGACTACAACAAGAGGGAGCAGCAAGCACGGAATTTGATGATTTTTCTCTGTTTCCTCCCCAACAGAAATCTTACACTAAAGTAAATGGCGCTGAGGGTGCAGTTCATCTAGAAAGCACTCATATCAAACACCGGCTTTAAAATGAACATAAATATCAGGTCAGTTTCATAGCCATTTATCCCACTCTCAGGATAAAACTCATAAATAAACTGGAAATGGACACTTCTCCAGCCCCAGAGAGGTGACCCCACCCCAGGGCTCCAGGCACACTGTTGTGTAATAAAAGAAAATCTGCCTTTCTCTGGCTGAAACTGCCTGGGACAGTTTCCCTGAAGGTGTCTCAGGTCCCAGAGAGTACCCCTCTGCCCCCACCAGCTGCAGGCCCCTGGGCAAAGGGCCTCCCCTCATCCCTTCCCTTTCCCTCCCTCTTCCATTTCCATGTCTCTGTCTCCCACACCAGACCCAGTCCTTACCCTGTGCCTTCTCCGCTTTCCTTACCTCCTCTTTGGTTTTGCATTTTTGCTTGTCGTTTGTCCTTGTCATTGCTTCCCATTTGGGTTCTGTTTGACTTTTTAAACACTTTTTTATCATAAGTCATGGATCACATAACATTTATCATTTTAACCATTAGTAAGTGTGCAGGTCAGTGGCATTAGGTGCACTCACAACGCTGTGCACCCATCACCACCGTGCACCCCCAGGACTTGCTCATCCCCCAGCATAAACCCTGTGCCCAGTACACAACAACTCCCCTTCCCTTCTCGCCACAGCCCCTGGTATCCTCTCTTCTGCTTCCTATCTCTACGAGCTTGCCTATTCTAGGTACCTCATATAAGTGAGATTATACACCTGCCCTATGACTGGCTTACTTCACTAAGCCTAATGATTTCAAGGTTCATCCATGCTGTAGCATGTGTCAACATTTCATTTCTTTCTGTGGCTAAATAGTATTCCACTGTGTGTATAGACCACATTTTGTTTATCAATTTGTCTGCTGATGGACACTTATTTCCACTTCTCAGCCACTGTGAATAATGCAGCTGTGAACATGGCTTATCGATATTGTCCGAGTCCCTACTTTCAATATTTTTGGATATATACCTAGAAGTCCAATTGCTAGATCATATGGTAGACACCTAGCACTGATGACATGCTGCCAGTCTACCCCAAAAGAGGACACTGAACCACCTATTGTCTTAGAGCTAGGAAGAAGCAAATCAGAGGACTTGAACTTGTCAGAGAAATGGGGGTCCACAGATCTCATTTTATGGCATCCTCACACAGTACGACAACATCTACCCTGGGACGTGGTTTGACTCCTAACGAGCTTTGTGATCGCCAGAGAGCCCCAAACTGATCTGTGCCTCGATCTCCCGGTAAAATGAGATAACAGCTCCTGTCCTATGTGTAGCACCCACAGCACTGCCGTGAACCTCAGATGAGGGAGTGCCTGAGAACTTTCTGTAGGCCAGCAATTACACAAACGTCCGTAAGGAGGAGCAGTAATAAGAAAACGACTGGGAATTGAAGCCCTCCATGAACTTCTAATGCCTCCTCCAAAACCCAGGGGCTGCCTCCGCAGCAATCCAGTGCTGTCACTTGGACATTTCTCTCAGGTGCCATGTAGGCTCCTAGGGCTCTCCCTTCCAAAGGAAGCACCTAGAACGGTGGCTAGAGTTTAGATCTGAACTGTTAGAACAACAGGAGTGTTTTGATCTGCACAATTGAAATCATTAATCTCATGCTCATCTGCTTTTCAACCTCCTGAGCATCTGAGAACATTTATATCAACCTGATGGTATAATTTTAACTTTGAGAGCTTCATAAAAAATCTTCCTTGCTTTTAAAAATTCGGGGGTGGGGGGGAAATAAGTTACTCACTTTTGAGGCCTGGATGCATGTGGGCTGTCCTTGTGATAACACAATGAGTAAAGTCCACTCTGGAAGACACAGTTATCACACCGAAAGTCATCTCTACAGAGTAGGCACTGTGCTTGCTCCAGGGAGAGCCCCAAAGTGTAGGACAGGGACAGATGGAGAGACAAGGAGTTAACTATAATGTTACAATTAAGAAAGTGCTAGGAGACAAATTTCTGTACATGAGATAACCTGGATTTAAAAACAAAAACTTTTTTGAATAACACAAAGTTGAACTGTGGCCTTTGCAGCTGCATGTCTAAAGTACTTCCTTAGAAGCTTCCACACCTCTTGCTCAGTGTGAAGTAAACTGGAGTCTTCAAAATTCACGTTCTGGACCCAGCCCCTCTTCTTGGTTTTAGTTGAGTTTGTCAGCCCAGCGAAACCAAAACAGGCTCATCCTCATCACCTATCGAGACTCCGGGGGTTGATAGTCTGATTATTCCTCACTCACTCAAGTGTTACCACAACCCAGCCTTTGTAGTGTAAGTGTGGGGTTTTTTCCTCCTAATTGTGTTATGAAAGGATTTTCATCTTATTAAGCAAATTTTAGGTGTCTGCAGATTAGTGGGAGCAGAGTCAGTCCAAGAAGCCCCTGGAATCACTGAAGGCTTACACAGCCTGCCTGGAAGTCAGCAAGTTTAATTATCTTAGGTGGCCTGTATCCTTTTCCTGTCTTCCCTGCCTCCCTAACCTCCAGTCTCAAGGAGGTAGCTGGCAGCCTATTTCTGGAGAGGGCACAGCAGGGCAGACCACCCTATGTCCAAAGATTCTTCTAGGGCTTCAGCCAACGCCATCAGGGCAAATGTATCCCTTCAGCAAACCCCACAAGTCGGACAACACTTCCCTCCCCAGACAACATCAAGGTGACTCCAATGTTGTCTAAGGTAGCATTTCATAGTGGCATGCTTGTGCCCTAACAAGCTCCGAGTACACCTGTGCTTCCTACGGTGTTTTTTTTCTCTCTAATCACAAAGATTTAAATCTCTTTCCTCCAAAAATAAAAAAGATAGTTGTTTGGAGGACCTTCTCTTCATTTTCCAAACCCTACAAACCCTGAAGTCTAAATACCAAATGAAAGATTCATACAATAGATCAGAGAGTGGGGTTGGCCATACTTCTCAAAAGTGAATGCATATCATTCAAATGAAGACCATAAATCAGTAGCTCTGGGGAAGGGATGCACGTTGTGCATTTCTAATGGGTTTCCAAGTGATGCCCACCTTCTGTGGGCCACTG